AACACAAACAAACATTAAAAAAAAAAAATCTATGCTACAACAAAGAAAGGTAAAAATATCACAGACGGCAAAACCAAATACACCAACTACAAACTCAGAAGTACCTAACATTTATTGTCTCAACACCCTTGACACCACTACAATAGATATTCACAGCCAAAGAAACATTTGGCGCACTCTAAGAACAAAAAGGATAACCAAACAAGTTCAAATTACCTAGACCAATGAAAACAAGAAAGTCGGCATAAAGCAATACTGAAATAATGGGAAAACAAACACCAAAACAAACCCAAACAGAGAATCAAAAAAGATCACTAATCCCGCACTCGATCACAACAGCAAGCTAACTCCCTCCTCCGAAAATAATCAGCAACGAAAAACAAACAGGCAAAACCACAAAACTAATATACTAAAAGGGGCCAAACCTCAAGTAGAGCTAGACAAAGAAACAAACCCAGCTCAACGTGAAGAACTTCAAGTTAAAGATAAAAAGATATAAACACTAAAATGTAGTGGGAAAATAGTACCAGTAAACAGAATCCCATCATGTTCAGAAGAACATTGCTTCACAATGTAAAGCAAGAAAATTAGCAGTCAGCAAATGCAACATCTTGAAACACCAACCAATGCCAAATAGCAAACACCATTTCCTACCCAGTCCAGCCCACTCCACCGCAACCCCGAAGAAAAGAGAAGAAAAAAACAAGGTACCCAATACCCCCGGCCCTAACACAAAGGATACATGTACACATTGACTATATTTAAATAAAGCTGTATTCTTGTTTTATTATGTTTCACACAGGATGCTTGGGTGGTAACGCCAGGCACCCCGAAGCCCCCGGTGGAAGAACACACCCCCATCCCGAAATACACCTAAACCACCAACAAAAAAGATACAAGGCCACCGTCACGCAGACAAACAAACCAACTTAACATAACTTGTGCAGAAAGCGTACCAACCAGCCACCCGAGATTGATTATGTCACCTGCCCAGACCCAAACAATTTGGCCAAGAGTACTAGTGAGTCTCCCGCCTCTTGTAATGGAAGGACATCGCTAAATGAAAAATTTATTCTCACTGATGCAAGACCAGAAGGCAAAAACTAAGTCACACTACACCTCTCTCAAGCAAAAAAACTATGATCCTGTAATAAAAACCTCAGCAATAGTTAGGCACAACCAACATCAGTGCAACCAAAAATAGCCAAACACCAAACCAAGAATAACCAAAACAATCAATTAAGAATATTTACCTCCACAAAGAGAGAATTATATTAATAGCCCGACCTAACAACCAGGCGAACCAACAGAACAGAACCGAGGAATTGCTTAAGAGACCAAGCATCACCACTTCGGGGCTAGATCGCAGACTAAAGCAATTCCCTGTACTCAGGAAGAAACCACCTAAGCGTTGGGCGCGCAGCCCTCGACTGAAGCGAAATTTTTGCAACTGGGGGATATGGGATTATTGACCACACCTCCACGAGCAAAACGGCCACACAAGCAAAAAGTTCACAAGCGCCAAAAAACTTTTACCCCACTGGGGGGGGCTAACATGCTTGCAACATTTTGGGTTTTACGCCAAATCAAAAAGAAGATCAACCAATCCAACCAGATCGGATCCCGGCCCACGGGTGGGAAGTTGAAAGTGACAAACACACTGTCAAAAAATCAAGCAAAACACCTTATCACAAAAATCAATCACACCATCATCTGAATCAGGAAATAACCACCAACGAACTACCCGAAAACGACCCAAAAAGCCAGGGGAAGAACAAGAACCTAATGGGGCACCCCTGCTTACCGCTAACACAAGTGTTTGAACCGGCTAGAACATGAACGCCATGAAGTATATATCAAAATTGCACCACCACCATAGAAAAAAAACAACACGAGACACAATGGCATTGAAAACGAACCGAAAAAATCTCTTCATCCCCTCTAACCACGCACGAAAAATAATTAGCAATGCACAACTTCTAACGTGTGGGCCATCGCCCATTGTTTTAACAAGTCGACTTATTGTTCTCGTAGATTTAGCAGCCAATCCACATCCTTATAATTATGATATATTATCCTCCTCCCGGTCACTGCAACCCAAAAAAAACTCCTCAAACATAAAGTAAATGCCCTGACTTAACTTTGCTGGCAACGTCACAGAAACCCAACAAAACTTGTTACACAAAAAGGGGTCTTTAAAAAACACCCCACCAGCTCTAATAGTAGGATGAAATACACTCCAGGAGTTGTACGCTGATTTAATTTTTGCCTGAGTTAATTGCCCAGCCATATCCCAAGAACAGGTAAGCTAAGGTGCTCAAGGCAAAACACATCCGAGCTGCCCAATAGCATCCCCCACCCCCCCCCCTGCTGTTGACTGTCGCGCCAATAGCCCACCCCAGCTAAAAGAGAAGGCCGGGGGAATGCTGCGGCCAGGGGACGACGAGCTCTAAATAAGCCTTATTTTATTCCCCCTCCGTTTCTGGAACCACGGCCCCCGGGTTGCCTCATCGCACCCCGAAACCTGAACACTGAAGCCTTGGGTACTCTTACTCTCCGGACGGTCGTGATGACCATGATTTGCTAACTAACAACGACTGAGGTCAAAACAACACATATCTGATTCATCTCACAAGCATCTCTCCTAAATACTCAAGATAAAGCTAAAGAATGGAACACCACAGGCCCACAAAGGCTTACAACTATAAATAGAGGGACAAGGTATTTGAGATGCCAAAAAAAACACAGCACATCACATTTTTTTAAACCCCACAAACTTTTATTTTTTTTTTTTTTTTTAAGACTGCAATCCCCGTAGTAGGCTTTCTGTTGAATTCATGCCAGCCACATTGTGGACCCCAATTTTGTTTTTTGTTGTCACCGCAGCGACTAGCCATCTCTTTTTTTTTTTTGTGTTTATTTACCCCGTCGCTCGGCCCTATGTCCACAAAAATCCCACCTCAGCCCCGAAACCGCCCCACGTTAGCCGCAGGACGCCCCCCAATCCCCCCTTGGACACCGGCAGAACCCATTCAAAAGGATTTGCCAAAGATACAGGTTATTTAAGGGGTCACGATTGAACAAAACAAAGAATCAGGAATCACCTACTCCCAATAAAGGAATGATCCGTTTGAAACAATGGGAACAAATGAAACAAAACCAAAAAAAAAATTAATCCAAAGGGAATGACCGATCCAGTGCAATACAGGCTCCAAGCTGGTGCTCTAAAAAAGTACATACTGACAGTAAACAGACCACCCAACAGTTGTTGTTTTTAAATATTTACGTGGAAAGTGACACGGGCTAAACGAAGACCAACCAAAAAAAAAACAAAAAAACCAACAACCCAGGACGCAAGCTGCATATTCCAGACTCAGTGAAAGGTGGGGAGGTGAGAAATGGAATAGAGGAAGGAAACTTTACCAC